TATCCAAAACTAAGAATGTTGCTGATGAAACCTCGTTAAAATTAGGTAGGATAGGTTTCGCTTTTGCAGAATATCCCATTAATTGTTCTGTATAATTGATCTTCAAACGTAAAGCACTGACTGAAAATCAAATAATTTACAATTATAATCTGTAAATCTAAGCAAACTGAATCCATCAAAAATCGCTTATCACCGTGTAGTAATTAATACTGAATTCTTTCCAGAGCTACAGATGTATAAACCGATATATAAATATTGTAATATATAGATTCAATATTATATATTCAAATCCAATAGATAGATACGATTTGATATAAGGTAAGAGCCTAGTGCGGACTGCGAATACAAAAGGCCGTGGGCTTGATTCCGCAATTCGACTACTGCCATGAACCACTCCTAACACAAGCATTTTAAGCTTACCACGAGTGGTTATAGGGACACAGTATTAATGTTAATAGCATTGCTAGTATTTAAAAAAAGAAAAAGGTACTTCATGTCCCCGTGAAAATCTATCACAAGCCATATCCAGCAGCGGACTACGTGACGATTGGCGCAAATCTTCTCTACAATAAGTGTTCAGGCTGTTCACACATCTGAACTTTATTATAAATTAGCGACCCGCCCCGGCCTCGCATCGTGAAAGATCATTTATTTTATCTATTTTATTATTTTATTTTACATGCCTAAGTTTTTGGGATAAATATAGCTTCTAGATCACTCCTGAAATTACCCTCTATTTGTTCCTGAAGTTTCATTAAAAACGGTTCAGTCGTTCTAAATATTTTCCCGGAAGACCAGACAGAAAGATAAATAATTTCAAAATGGTTATTCATGTCTTAATATGCAAGTAACCATTTGAGCTCAATACTAAGTAGGTATTACGATATTACAGAAAAATACTTCAATTTTATTTATATGTGTAGACATAGATGTAAGTTTGGTGTATAATAATTATATTATAAGTTTATAAGTCATACGTGCAAATATATTTTAGTAAGATGTATTGCTGATAAAGCTACTTTCACAATGTGTAAGACAATTCGTGCCTTTACTATTACCCGATTCGACCGTCACAATATCATCACGTCCGTCACATTTTGTAAGTGGTAAAGCCATGCTGTAGCCATATTATGGTTATAGCATGAATAAGTCGGCTCGACCGGAGTAGGACCACGCTCTCATACAATACCAGGGTAATGTAAGTTTTTTTATTTCTAAAATGAGGAGACAGACAAATGAGCATACAGTCCACCTGATGGTAAGTGAATGCTGTGGCCCATAGACATCTACATTTATACTCAATTGAGAACCAAAATATAGATGCGTTGTCACCCCTGAGGACTAAGATGGAATGCCTCATTTCCAGTAAAAAGGATCTCCGGTTCTCTGCATACGAAACACAGCAGCATTAAGCTGCTATTTCATGCTGGTTACGTTTTGTAATGTTCGACGACAAGGCCAAACATCCACGGTTACTTACAAAGAAAATTAATTGGTTATTAAAAATTCTTTGAATACGGCTATACTCAATAATGTGAATGACGAAGCTATCAAATTTCAAAAAGGTAATTTTTCCAAACTGCTGCAGATATATTTTTCATTTTTAATTTTTTTTCTGAGTAGCCGCGATGTTGCCTACTAGTAACTGCGGAGTAATCCATTACTTATCGGACAGCCTGTATAACTGTAGCGTGACTACCATATCTACCAAAATATTATGCCACATCTTCCAAAATATTATAATTAGAAGAATTTGTATTGTAAATAATTTATTTCGCATACTCATTACAAAATTATAATTTAAAAAAGCGAAATCACCTTAAGCACTTAAGCAAAGTAAACCTAGCAAAGTAAGAAGTATATAGTAATCACCTTGTTTTTCATTGGCTATTTATAGGAAAAGTGCCGTGTAGTGGCGGTTAAGAATATCCACTACCCCATATCTTCCCATGGGTGTCGTTAAAGGCGACAAAGGGAAATAGGCAGGAGATGGGCAGCAGCATCTTACTGATAACAACAAACTTACAATAAAAAAACTGCGGTTGCCAATCCGCTCGCCAAGCGTGGCAACTATGGCAAATACCCCCCTATGTTGAGAGTAACAAAGAAACGGCCCCCAGTCCCCAGCGGCCCCGCTATTCCTGGCTACGGTGGCGACTATGGTAACGGCGGAGCAGGGGGTGCTAAGAATCTCCGGTGGAGGTTCGGTTGCCACCTAAGATGACTCGACCTGGCAACATACAACGCACGCACTCTGAGGACTGACGAGAAGATCGTGGAGCTGGAAGAAGAGATAGACAAGTTACGCTGGCATATTATAGGATTATCAGAAGTCCGAAGAGAGGGGGAGGACACGGTAACCCTCGAATCCGGCAACTTATACTCAGAATCACCAAACGGTATTCGCTGAAGGTCACACGAATAGGTCTTAGGATGAACATGGACAAAACAAAGATCATGTTTAATGTTCATGTCACACCTATACCGGTAGTTGTTGGGAGCACTAAGCTCGAAATTGTTGACGAGTATGTTTACCTGGGACAAACAGTCCGACTAGGTAAGTCCAACTTCGACCGAGAGGTCAATCGACGGATTCAACTTGGCTGGGCAGCGTTCGGGAATCTACGGCACATTTTCTCGTCAGACATACCTCAAAACCTTAAAACGAAATTGTACAACCAGTGCGTATTGCCAGTGATGACTTACGGATTTGAGACGTAGTCCTTCACTGCTGGCCGTATGAGGAAGCTCAAGGTCGCGCAGCGAGCTATGGAGAGGGCTATGCTCGGAGTTTCTCTGCGTGATAAACTTAGAAATGTATATCCGCAGTAGAACCAGAGTCACCGACATAGCCCACGGATTAGTAAGCTGAAGTGGCAGTGGGCCGGCCATATAGCTCCAAGAACCGATAACCGATGGGGAAGAAAGGTTCTTGAGTGGCAGCCTCGTACCGGTAGGCGAAGTGTAGGGCGACCCCCCACGAGATGGAGTGACGACCTGGTAAGACATGCAGGAAGTGGATGGATGCAGGTGGCTCAGGACCGTGCTTTGTGGCATTCCTTGGGGGAGGCCTATGTTCAGTAGTGGACTTATGAAAGGCTGTAATGATGATAAGTGTCTCATGCAATATTATGATATAACTCATGATTCATTCTTCCACGCTTAACAACAGTCAATAACGATACAGCTATCCCTATTCTTTTAGCCAGTGAGAGAACTCCAGTGTATTTTTCACTCGACTCAATGTAAGGCAGAGCTAAGAGGCTTATAAGCGACAAAAATACCAGACGTACTGCAAGTTACCACCCCCACTTGCTTGGTATTCAGATATTTGCATTAAGCGCTATAATTCATCTTTCATAATGCGCACAGCCAAGGAGTGGAATGCCCTGCGGGCGTCTGTTTCTCCGAGTGCATATAACCTTAACCTCTTCAAGGTGCGAGTTAACAGGCTTCTCCTGGATAAACTTGCTCCATCGTAGTGAGCCAAGTTTTAATATAAAAAGCCATAATATAGCTGCAGCGTGGTTCTACCACGTACAAAATGTATAATAATAACTTAATACTGCTGTGTATCGTATAATAAATGTAAAGAACTGGAGAATCTTTTTACTGGTAACTAAATAAGGTTTTTTTACATAGAATAGGGTGACAAACGAGCACACAGTCCTCCTGATGGTAAGTGATTGCTGTGGCCCATAGACATCTACATCTATCCTCGTTTGCGAACCAAAATGCAGATGCGTTGTCACCCGTGAGGACTAATATGGAATGCTTCTTTTCCAGTAAAATGGGTCTCCGGTTCTCTACACTCACCATACGAAACACAGCTGTGTTAAGCTGCTATGTTTCTCTGGTATTCTGTGAGAGCGTGGTCCTTCCCTGGTCGAGCCATCCCATTCGTGCTGCAACTATACTACTAATATAGCTGCAGCATGGCTACACCACGTACAAAACACGTAGTAGGCGTAGTCTCTTTTAGTCCTCAGGGGTGCCAACTCGAATCTCGTTTGTCACTCCTAAATAATAAAGAAATATTTTTGCACTTGTAATTTATGGTTGCAGCAGAAATAATGCTAAAATTTAAAGTTACAACCTATATACGTCCCACTACTGGGCACAGGCTTCCTCTCATTTCTGAGAGGGTTTAAGGGTAAGGAAATGTCCACCGCACTGCTCTAATGCATGTTGGAGGACTTCACATGTCTTCGAAACATTTTATTTTATTTTCAGACATGCAGGTTTCCTCACGATGTTTTCCTTCACCACCGAGCACGTGGTAAATCAGCACTTAAAATTGCAACTAACAATTTCATTGGTGTCAGCAGGGATCGAACCCGGGTTGCGCGTACTATAAAATTTACAGCGAGCGCTTACTCGTAGCCTTTGAGCTACCACGGCTCCTGTAACTCCTAAATAATTAATTAATATTTTTGCACTTGGCCAATGCATTGCAGCCACGCTGCAGTTATTTTATGCAGTTATTTTAGTAAAACAGTAGCTTAATGCTTCTGTGTAGCACACAGTGAATATAGAATACCGGAAACCCTTTGAACTGGTAACGAGGCAGTCTATCTTAGTCCTCAGGGGTGACGACATATCTACATTTAGATTCTTCATCGAGGCGTAAATAGGCGAGTATGGGCCACAGCATCCACTTATCATCAGGAGGGCTATTGTGTTTTTGTGTGTGTTTGTTTTGATTCTTTAAAACAGTTCGGTGATTCGGGTGATTGTGAAACATATTGAACTAAATATGATCCGAATACAAAACATATAATTTAGTTAGTATGAGTCGGACCCCAAGATACCATAAGATTTGTGTATATCTTTTCTTGAACATCGCTTAGATATTTAGCTCACTGTTCTTCTTTACATTTGGTAATTAGTTTAAAGAGAACATCTTTACGTAGTAAGGCATTGTGGGAGAAAGATACTAGAGTTAGGTATTGTACTCATTAAGGTAGGTTTCATTCATCATATAAGTGTACTGGACTGACCTGTGCATTTTGTGGCGCGTAGTGTGTCAGAGAGAGTTGGTGTAGAATATCCTTTGCTGAGACCACTTCCAAGTTTTTCGGAACCTATAAAGAAGTCAGTGGTATTAGTTTCATGAATAAATTTAAGATAATAATAATAACCCTGGGACCAGACCTTGCGGGAGCCCATACTAATTAGATATTATTTTTTGAATTAAAGAGATAAACGAACTTATATATTCCACCTAAAGGTAAGTAGCTCCTGCAGCCCATGAACACCTGGTGCCAACTTCAAACAAAGAAGGCTATAGATTCGTAGTCAAAGTCGGAGTAATAAGATAAAATGCTTCAAAGTCTGTAATTATACTGGCATCATACCAGCTCTAAACAGCTGTGTAGACACTGCTATTTGTCAGCAGAAATTGATAAGATGGTAGTACCTAACCCGATGGACATCCCATCCGTCAACACTAATTAAATTGTTAATTACAAATGTTGATTTACCGCGTGCTTGACGGTGAAGCAAACCTAGGGAAGAAAACTGAGTGTTTAAAAAAAATTAATATTTCAAAATGACCCGAATTTGTCCTACGCCAAGTTCAAATACTTTTTTAAACAATGGTTGTATAAAAAGGGTAATTAAAATATTAAGGAATTTTGGTTATTCCTAATTGGTTTTGTGTATATTTTTATTAATTTTATATTAATATAGATTATTACATCATACAATTGTAAGTTTTTTTAAATTTACTTCCGGTTCGGAAAAGCAAGTCTTGGGAGGAACCATCAAGCGTAACATTTCTTTATAAATAAAGAACAGTTTATAATCATATATGTTACATAATTAACTACACGTAATAAATTAATAAGGGAGTATAATAGCTTGGTAGCAATCACCTTTTACACGGGGTTTGTTATCACCCATAATTTCATTAATATCTAATTACTAATTACACTTTTTATACAATATTTATTTAATAAAGTTTTTAAACTTTGCGAGCTAATAGGCGAAAATCCTCAGAGATATATAAAATGTCTTCCGCCCAGCTATGGGCCGTATTTAGACGTTTACTTTAGGTAGTATACTATTACTGTGATTGACCTGTCTATCACAGTAAAAGTAGTAGTAATGCAATTGCATGCATTACTGATCTATTTGCATAAGCCGTATATCCGATACGAAAAGTGAGAACGAGTTAGTGCCTTATTTGCACGTGCACTTGTAGTTCTTTAATCTGCGCACTTGTTCGCTTCCGATAGAGGGTGTTGTCACTGAGACAGAAACCAGAATGAAAACTATTTTCATCAGTCAGTGTAAGAATATCCACTACCCAATATCATCTCGTGTGTGTCGTAAGAGGCGACAGAGGGAAACTGAAACAGGAGGTGTGCAGGAGCGTCTTCCTAATAACAACCAAGTTTTTAAAAAAAAACTGCAGACGGCCATCCCGTCTGCCAGGCGTAGGAACTACAGCTAATATATGAGGCATGGGTAACACCTATGTTTAGCAGTGGACTTGTGGCTGTTAACAGTAACAATAGATGAAAACGTGTTGACGTTTGATAAAAGGAATTTTAATTTCTTGAGTCGAAAAATAAAGGGTTTTTATTTCGTTTGATTTTATTAAATTAGTTATACATAAGGGATGGTCCCATATAAATTTGGTGAAAACAAATTCAGTCCTGAGGGAACAATACTGAATGAAGTTTTTAATGTAACTATTTGGACGACATTCAGATTGTGACATTCCTTTCACCTCAAGAGGGAAAAAATTAAACCATTAATGAATAGTAAAAGCCAAATTAAAAGTAATAAATAAATTGAGCAGTTGGGGGACAACCGTCAGTAACGAAGTTACTTACGTTATTTTATCAACTCTAAACGTGATTTAATATGTAGGTTTCTAATGAATAAAAAATATTTTTTATTAAATCCATTAAATTTAATTATTATATTATAATTATCTCGATACTCGCACGAACACATACAACCGTATATAATAGACATATAAGAGAAAAAGAAAGTGAGAAAGAGAAAGAGAGGGAAAGGTCGCCTGGAGGGATATAATGCTTTTTCCTTATGCTTAGTGGTCACCATCAGCGTATATGAGGGGTTCAGGGATCTCTGTTCGGAACGCAACCTCTCCCGCTTTTTTTTATTAAAGCACGTTTCTGGGACAGTCCTTACTGCCCCCAGTACCCTCGTAGTACTATCACGGTGCTTGAAACCAGTTGCTAGTTACCGTTCTCCTCAGGGGATACATTACTAGACGTTTGAGGCGTCTATCCCGAGCGCCCGTAAATACCGAGGTCCCGTTTCTAGTAGAGGACCACCATCATTAAGGGGAGGCCCGTGATGACCGTCTTGGCAACGTCGTTTCCGAGGGTGATCTGTCCTCTCCCGACACCGCTCTATAAGGGATTCACAGAAGGCGGCTACGGTCCTCCACATCCAATCGCCTCAGCATCATCAACCCGACCTTCTGGCAGGAAGAGGTTCTGACCGATCCAGCTTACCAGGACCGTCCGCTCCCGTTCCCACGCTGAACATGTAGCCAGCGTATGGGATGAGGAGTTTGGTCCTGCCCACCGCAGTGGAAACAGTCCACCGTCGCTTCGCGTCCGATTTTACACAAATAATCACCGAATTACCCGTGCTCGGTCATTATCTATGTAAGTCAGTAGGCGAATCTTCCTGTTCGGCGATGCGTCCAGGCTTCGAAGTGCGGCAAGATTGCTTCAATAACGCGTTTGCGAACATAACGCTCTTCAGAGACGAGCGCGCCACGTTGCGAATGCGTATGGTTCTACCTGTCGCTTAACTACTTCGAACACCTCATCTGGCTGGCATCTCAGCGACGCTGTAGATTTTAATTTTACAGGGTCGGATGGCCAGCCTTTTCGTCCAAACAGGCCCCTCGTACAAGTTACGGACCGTATAACTCCTGCATAGAGGCGACGCACTTTTTCCCTTAGTTCCCCTAAATTGGGCAGTAGTTTATGCATAGCACTCCCTACCTTTTTAACCCAGGGGCTAATCGCTCGAAGTGTTCTTCGAAGCCCCATCGACTGTCCAGGTGAAGGCTAGGTACATCATGTACCACCCCACTCTGACTTTAGACCCACCCTCGCGGACTCACGAGTCGGGTAGTTCCCTGCCGCGTCGTAATTTATGGAACCATAGGGCCCCGGTCTTGTGACGCGCTATTTCTAATCCCAACTCGTGGTGCTAGGCGACGATGACTTCCGCCCCAAGCCTCTTTGCCCCACTCGAAGGTATACCCGCTGACAAACACTAACGTGTCGTCCGCATAGTAAACGATATCTACGCCAGCAGGAAGTTTAACTCGCAGAACCGCATCATAGGCAAGGTTCCACAGTAGCAGCCACAGCACCGTGTCTTGCGGAACCCGACGTCTGATCCGGATCTTCTTACCATTTTGCCCCATAAACAGGATATACCCGTCGAGCAAGCAGTCTCCGATAACACCTTGCAGTTAGTGAGGCACCTGATAGTGTGCCAGTGCGCTTCTGATTGCGTCCCAAGGTAGATTAATTCTCTAGGCGTTGATGATATCGAGACTTATCGCCAACGTCCCACCACCCTGGGATACTGGGTTTTTCGCCAGGTTGCGGACGCGCATGATGTGCGTCTGATGTGCATCTACTGTAGAACGCTTCGGAATCCAAACTGGCTATCAGCCAAAGCGGGACCGACGCGGGACAAATGCCCGTTGAGCGGAGTGGTAACTATCCTCTTGAACAATTTGCCAATCTCGTCCAAGAAGCATATGGGACGGTACACTAGATTTTACCTAGATATGACAATGAAATAGGCGGAAAAAATGTCAGATGGAGGCTGAAGTTGCGGCGGTGTTCTACTTTATGAGTGTCAATTACTATTATATGATTTTTTTTATATTTTGACAAAGCTAAACCAAGACTTAAAAGAAGATGGTGGATTAGAAAAATGCACAGAAGCTGAATAGGTTAGTTTTTTTTCCGTTGAGCTCATGTCGCACACTGAACAAACTGTAGTGTGCCATTTGACGTAAAAATGACCGCGGTAATCGTCGTAGATATGCGGGAAAGACCGCCACAGGAGCTATTGCGCGTATTGATTGACATTGTTAAATTATGGCCATAAATCGTAGTTGCACCTAGATGTTGTTTCAGTTATGACCATAATTATTGCCGTACCACGGTAGTGTGGCCGTAGCATTACGTGACGATTTCTGCCAGTTCACTCGTAAGTCGCATAAAAGAACTTCGTTCCAATAACATCTACGTAAAAACTTTTCTATACACTATAGGTATCTTATGCCCAAATACACACACACTGCTCAATTTTAAAACGCCGTAAAGTCTCGTGCTGTCTCTATCACTTCAAGTCAAAGTGACTGTGTGACGCCACGAGAATTAATGATATCTTAAAATTAAGTAGCGTTTGAGTAATTGGCTATTTGTCAGAAGTCGGTGCTGAGCTGTTATGTAGAAATTATTTTTATTATTTTTAGTAGGCATTTAAAAGCTAGCTTTTATTCTTTAATAAAGGTAAAATTTTATAGTCGGTTAAGACGACTTTGTCGAGTTTGTTACAAAAAGTAATTTAAAATCAATCTCAGGTTCTAACTTGTGAAACAAAGTTAGAACTTAGTCCCGCGCTAATATGCAATTTATATAAATTGTGAAATATGGAGTTTGACAGCAAAAGTCAATTTTCGCAGAGACTGTGGCTCCGCGGCTAAGGAACTTCTTTATTTTCTCTTCTTTAACTCTTTAAATATAATAGTTAAGCCAATACTGACAAATTAACCACTTTTTGAAATAACACTGAATACAAACGTTAAACTTGTTGACTTATAATATCTATTTATCTAAAGTAGAGATAAGGAGATGGCAATGTTTTTAATTAATATCTTCATCTTTTTTTATCGTCATGTAACACTAAAATGAAAAACTTATCGTATCAAAATTCAAACCCAATTTTCGAACTCCTATGAAATCAATTATTGCGAAAAGTAAACGGAAGTTAATGATAGGAAAAGGTCATTAACATTCCCTAAAGTCCAAAAGCTCCCACGCTTAAAAAAATTAACGCGTCA